ATATAATCTGAATATATACATCCTGTATAAACTTAAAAATTTTCTAAAAACTTTATTTAATTTATATTTTATTGGTAATAAAATAATTCATTAGTATAAATTTAAATATTTTTAGTTATAAAAAAGTTAAATTACTTATTAATAAGAAACAACTTTTATTTTATAAATAATTATAAAGAAAATAATTTTTAAGATTAATAATTTTTATAAATCATTTAATGATTTTTAATATTTAATCATTTATTTTATATTAATACATAATTAGAAAGTAAAATATAATGCTGATAAAATAATCTTTTTTGAACTGGTAAATTTATTAAAACTCTTAAATCTTTTAAAATTATTTAATATTTCTGTAAATAAATAAATTTTTAAATTAATAAACTTATAATCTTTATTTTAAAGTAAATTTTACAATTTAATAGATAATATTTAAACTAAATTATGTAATTTTTTTAAAATTATTTATTATTTATATTTTTTATAAATTAAAAAAATATATATTATTAAATGAATGGAATATTAAATTAATTATATTAATTACATAATAATTATAATATAATAAATACCTAAATTTTCATAACGAATGACTGTAATATCTATTTGACCTATTTCTACTTAATTTGTTTGAAAAAAAAAGTTTTGTCGATTTCTTTATTATTAATGCGTGATGCACTTATGTACCTTTAATCTAAAAATTATTTATTAGGAAGAACTTTATTCGAAAATCCACCATTTTCCTTCACTTCTTTCAACCATTGTTTCCAAAGTTCTTTCTTGGACAACGCTTTTTCATCCCCTATTACCACCAAAAGAGCTTGTGCTCGAGTTACAGCAACGCAGAACCGTCTCGGTTCCCCAAGGAATTCAACATTTTTAGTTCGAACTGTAGAAATAATGATGACGCGTCTTTCTTGGCCTTGAAATTTCTCCACAGTGCCAATATCCACCCCAGAGATATTCCGTTTTATAAACAACTTCTTGATCTTTTCAACCTGTTTAACGTAGGGTGTGACGATACCAATTTCTTTTGGCTTGACGTTTTGTTTCTGAAGTTTCACAACAACTTCTAACACATAACCGGCCTCTCGAGCATTGAAATACGATGGGGATTGGCCCTCACGATCTTCTTTACCTTCTACATTCCAGAACATGATCGGGTAATCCTTTGTAGGGAGGAGAGAAAAGTTACCTAAGTTATGAGTAATTTGCTTGTCAGCTGAGGGTATAAGATCATTGTTATAGAACTTAGCACTAGGAAAGCTTAGGATTTTAGGGTGTGAGCGGTAGTTCATCCGGAGCTTTACCCCATAAATACTTGTATCGCCAAAATCATAGAATTCGCTTTTTTCAAGACGTTCGATCAGAGATTGTCCAAGGCCAAGCTCTTTCGCAATTGAAGAACGGACAAGTGGACCTAGTTGCTTCGGGTCACCTGCTAAAATAATTCGTGTGTTTTTGGAAGCGTTTTGCAGCGCGGTTACGATTTCTGGTTCCATTGCTTGCCCTGCCTATTACGTAATTAAAATATTAAAAACACCAGAAAGCCAAATGATAGGTTATTTTATAATAATTAATACCTCATCAATAAAGATATGCGTGTAAGACTTCGTTCCGAGCGAATACACAGTTCCTGCAGTAATACAAGTGGTCACGACAACCCGGTGCTTCTCAATATAGCTCATGTTCGGAAGCTGGTAATTGCCGCATTTGTCTATCATACAATAGCAATGAAATTCCCGTTCTATTTTTTCAGGTTCTTGCGAAACGGCGTTGATTCGAACCATTTCATCAGGAGGTAGTCGTTTACTCAATTTTTTCAATAGCCAATTGGCCGCCGCGTTTGACGCCGCGCAGGCGAGAATCCTGGTAGTAGGATTATTATCCAGAAGTTGCCACATTGCTTCAACGATGGTGGAAGACTTGCCTGTAACGATAATTGCAGACATAAATAAATGACATAAAATAAATTTGAAATCAAGCGTACGTTACTAGCCTGTTCCGGGCGGACCGAAGACAATAAAGGGCCAGGGTTGACGAGTTTCTGATTTGATAATGGCTACCGCACGTCTTTGGTAATAATTCAGTATAGTGTAGAATTTGATGTTTTGAAAATCCACGTCATTTGCAGAGAAATTTTGATGGTCCTGAGGGAACAAACGACTAAATTCCACTTTGGGATTCCTGACGGCTTGATGCATCCTTCTCATTGATACACGATTAAAGGTGAATCGGACATCGAACCTCACGTTTGAATTGTACACTTCCTGCGAGAATGACTCATCAAACTTTAAATCAATGCTACTTTTAAGGACCTCGTGCACGAACCCTTGGTATGCTTCTGCATTCTTATCTCCACATTTCACAACAAAAATATAATCCCCAGGAAGCACTGACGGGCGTTTCTCTGCGAGTGCGCGTTTATGAATTTTCATTTTAAAATAGTCTCCAGATTTCTTCACTAATTTCACTTTCTGCCGGTCATACCTTTTGAGGTCTTCATTTGTTTTGTACTCCTCTGCATAGAGTAGTTCACTGAAAAACTTACTATAATTATTGGCATTCAATTGAGTGCTAAGCCGTCTAAGGACATCCTGGTGAGGTCTTTCAAAGATTGTTTTTAACTCTGTGGGCATTTCATACTTTTTTAACGAGTATTTATATTTTACTCGCTCAGTGGGTTTGAGGGATTTACCATGAACGATATCTCTATTTTCCATGAAATCGTCACTACCTTGTTTGACTTTGTAGGGTGGCTTGGCCCTTAGAAGTTCAAGAATTTCATCCATGATTAAGTTTATAGAGAACAACGAAAGTCAGAATGAGTCGAAAAATTTTTTATTAAGCACTAATTAGGAAGAGTTCTGTTTTCCAACAGAAATAGAAATTACACACGCACTAATTAAAAACATAGCCGATTTTGTGATAGGACCTCAAATTTTAGTGACACCGGAAATGGCGTGCTAGCGGATCATCATCATCATCATCATCATCAGCAGCTCTTTTTTCGTCGAAGTTTAATTATGAACATTTCATTTGATTGTTGGTCTGGTATTCTCTGATCCACTCATTTGTATCTGATAGACTGATAACGTAAATCCTTTTTTTTCAATATAATGTTGATGAAAGAAATGTTTAAATGCTAATGTTGTGATGGGTTGAGTGTACTGTGGAAATTTCCGACATAAATCGTACTCTTGACTAATTTCGGGAACGTTTTTAGGTTTTGTGAAAATTTCTGTATAAGATTCTTCCAAGAGTTCAAATCCTTATCAAGTGGGACAGAAGACAGCATTAAAACTCTTCCGCAGCGCGTTTACTTTGTATGATTTCCAATGAAAATCCCGGATGTTTACAGTTGAAAGGCCAGAAAGACTTGCACATGTCAACTCTCACTTCTATACCACGTGAAAATCTGTTTTTAGTTTATAATAATTAAAAGCAGATTTAAAAAAAATATATATGGAAGCAAACTAAAAAGCATTGTGACTTTTGAACATTTTACCCGCTTCGGCGCTAACGTTTCAACATAGAATGGAGAATCGCGAATAGTATCTTGAAGATCTTGATTTTCTTATTTGGAAAGATCCCGTTTATAGTCATGAGGGACCATTCATCGATGGACCTGGAATACAAATATAGAGGACGACTTTGCACTTCTTGGTTGGTAAATAATGCGTACTAATGCATCTAAGTTATTTGAATCAGAAAGTGAAATAATCATCGTCAACAGGCATTTGTTTTACTGATATATCAACATTTCGTTATGATCTGCTTATCAAACTTTCGTTAGTTTTCGATCGGTAATGCTATGGAAGGCTTTTCACAGTCGGAATCTCGAGAATTCGGATCAAAAATTGCCTATCGGATGCTTCAGCTGAAAAAAAAAGCAACAACTTTTGAAAGATAATTGCTTCAAATTACACAGGATATGTACTTCATTTAGAGAAACACACATTCGGTCTTGAAAATTAATAATGAAGGTAAAATGCTTCCGGGTTTACAGCCAGAATAGATAATACAAGAGTTCCACGTTCGACATTCAGTTCATGTGAATTTGTAACATATGTACACATAACTTTCGTTTTTACTTCAACCCTACGCTCTCTGCTAGCCTAATAGCCTAATTTAGAAAATAATTTGAATATTGGCATTAGAACGCTTTTCACGTATATTCACGTATATTAGATTTTAAAGTTTGCGATACGATATCAGTTTTGCAATGCCGATTTTGGAAAGATCCGATCTTTTTGCAAATGGTTATATATCTTTTGCAATAAAAAGGAGGAAAACTGTCGGAAAAATCAAATTTACTTATTTTATAAACCAAATATGATTTTTAGATCAAAATATGTTCAGATTTAGCATTAATTCATTTTTTATTTTTTTTTTTTTTTTTATGTAAAAATGAACAAACTCAGTATTTAAAAAACTATCATTCAACATTTCAGAAAACGAAAATTTTTATTTTTTATTAAAAGATAGCAACCAATTTGCATATTAAAAGTTTTTACTTCAAAATAAATGAGATAAGAGTTTTGCATTTAGTAGTACTAAGAACTATTCACCTATTAAATAGTATTTTCAAGATTTTATTTTATGACTAAACTTAAACATATTATTATTAGTTTTATTAATTTGTATTAATTTCTTAAATATTGAAAAATAAATTATATTATAATCATCAAACTAATGATGCTGACGAACTGAAATAATTAATTTGATAAAACCGAAACTATTTAGTCTTTAATAATTAAAAAGCTGAAATGATGAAACTTTATTTTCATTGATTTTTCATGATTTATATTCACAATTTTTAATAATGTTTTATTTTATTATAAATTCTAGAAATTTAGAATTTTTGTAAATAAAATACAATTTATTATATTTTGTTTACTGCTAAGAAAATTTGGACTCTGAAAAATTTTAACAAATTTTGAATTTTTATTGCATTTTAATTTTTGATATTATTAGATTAAATATAATAAGATTTTAATTTTAGTCAAATAAATTCTTAAAACCTGATTTCTAACAAACATTCCATATGAATAATTATTATCTATAATGTTAATTAGTAATATTTTTTGATTATATATTTAATTAATAATAAATAATAAAAGATTT